CACAGTGCAAAGGTGAGATTTGTATCATCTTTGCAATTATTTCCCTCTCCCAGCCCTCTGCTTTATCCTTAAAAAAAAAAAAAAATCTCATGGGGTATTCCTTGCTCATAGTCTAGGAACTGATCCTCCTTTACCAAAAGATCTGGCCAAGTTTTCCTGTAGATTAGGATTCTTACAGGAAATTGAGATTCAGTCAGAGCTATGCACCTAATTCCTTTAGTCTCCTGTGGAAATCCCAGCCTTCACTATTTCTGGAATTTTAGCAGATTATTACTCGAACTTCCTCTACTTGACCTGGTTTTCCTCTTACATCTGTACACACAGCAGATTAAACCATAAATTCTATACTAAAATATTTAAAAATATGCTATTAACTTTGTTTTGTGAATACAATAAATTCTAAATATGTAAGGAAGTTTTTGGTTTTATATAAATACTAGAAGACTTACCTGGAGTTGCTTGAGCCCCTGGAGGGCAGGAGGCTGAGCGTGTGAAGAGTGCAGGAGTCAGGGCCTAGCGATATGCGGGGGCTTCAGTGCAGAAGGCTGGGAGGATTGGGGTGGAGGAGTCAGGGTTGAGGGGATGAAGAGCTCACAGCAGGAGGCTGGGGGATGAGGAGCTGCTCAGGACAGATGGTGGGGAACACAGTGCGGGGGTGTGTGTGCAGACATCAGGGCAGGGGGTTAGGAGGTGTGGGGAGGCTCCAGGGAGAGATTGGGGGATTCAGGACAGGGGATGGGATGGCCGGCAGCTGCTCTCTGGGCCTGGGGCACTTGCTGCTCCTCTGTGACCATTTATCAGTATAACTGACCCTGCTATCACGTCCCTTCCTTTCTGTTTAATGAGAAACAATCTCATTCCATGAACATCCCATTGTGGCGATAGAACAGAGCAGCAGCTCCCAGCCAGCTAGGGGAGAAAAAAGAGCCTGCTTTCTTTATAGTGCCTGTTGAGCCAGGTCAGGGCTCAGAAGATATGGGGAAACAGCTTTGGGTTGTTGCGGGGGTGAGACAGGGGCTTATAAGGACTAGTGGGGGAGGACAGACTGAGGCTGAGTGGGAGTGGAGGCACAAGGTCGAGTGGGAGTGGAGGCACAAGATCAAGTGGCAAGGGAGGTGCAGGGCCATATGGGGGCAGAAAGGGGGTGCAGCACTCTCATGGGAATTGGTGTCTAAGTGGGAGTGGAGGGACATGTGGATAGGGGTGCAAAGACACATGGGGAGAGGGGCAGATGAGCCTGATTGAATGGGAGTGGCTAGGAGTCAACTATGGTCTTCATGTGGAAAGCTCCCTAAGAATCCCTCCTCGCACTCTGAACCCCCTCCAAAAAAAAACCCACCCCCATTTCATATTTTTCCACTCATATCCAACAGTCCTTTCAAGAACACACCCACGCTCCTTCCCAGCGGTTGCTTTCCTCTCCCTCAGCTTCTCCAGTACCACATCTTCCTCAAGCCTTTGTGCTGCTTCTGATGGATGCAGGCAATATGGTTCTGTATTGTAGTTTAAATTAATTATTACTTAGTGTTGTATTAATATGCCTAGTAAGGAATCTGTTTCTCAAAAAACGTTTCCTGAATTTCTTTGTTTGTGCTGTTACGGACATCCTTGCTGACAGATATTTTAAAATAAAACTACCAAAAATAATTGAAACTGATGTGATTATATTGTGTTATTCTGACAAATACCACATGTGGATGCAGAATTTGAAAAAAATTGTGCATAGAATTTTTAATATTTCCGTGCAGAATTCCCCCAGGAGTAGTACCTGAGAGTGTTTGGGTGTGAAGAGGAAAGGGATTGCTAGATGAGAGCTGAAGGAGAGGAAGCCGAAAGCCCAGAGAATATGAGTGAGACTGGGGCCCACCATCTGGAAAAGTAAAATGAAAAACAGCAAAATGTTAGACTGAAAGAAGCATGGTTTAGCATTCTTAATGTAAACCTGGGGGCTAGAAACATCTGAGTTTTATGGTTGGCTGGCGACAAACTACTCAACCTCTTTATCTGCATTTTTTTCATTTGTGAGACTGGGTCAAGTATGCCATAAAGACAGTTGGGCTATGTCTACACTGGTGGGTTCTTGCGCAAGAACTCTTGCACAAGAACACATCCACACGGCCATGTGCTTTTGCACAGGAGCATCCATGGCAGTGTGGACGCTCTCTTGCGCAAGAAAGCTCTGATGGCCATTTTAGCCATAGGACTTTCTTGCGCAAGAACCCCCTGCCAAGCATCCATACTGCCCTCTTGCACAAGAGCTCTTGCACAAAAGGGCTTACACTTGTTAGAAAAGAGCGTAGCTCTTGCGCAGGAAGCCCTGTCATCCAACACTGTACTGTAAATCTTCTTGAGCAAGAGCGGGCGGGCAGTGTGGACACTCTGCGGGTTCTTGCACAAGAACCCACCAGTGTAGACATAGCCTTGGTGTGTGAAGAGTGGTATGAAGATAAATAGTACTGTCAACTGATCTATGAAAAAGACCTTTGATTCACTTTCTCATTTTTATCTTAAGCACTGTTATGCGTCTGCAGTGCACACGATCACTACCCTCCTGTGGTATCTAGAACAATCTCTCTAAGCAGCTAACTACTTCTCCTACATTTCTTGCAGAATCCAAGTAGACAATCTGAGGGCCTGTGAGTTGCTAAGTGCATATTTTTTTCTACTTAGAGGGGGATGGAAAGCCCAAAACACTGACTTTAAAAAAAAAATCAGATTTCCCTTTTCATTGTTCCATAGTAGAGTGTAGTTTGCAGACACATCCCATCAAGAAACAGGCAGGAAACATAACTTCCTACACTAGTGGATGGCACAAGATCTATATAGAACTCGAGTGCTATGATGGCTAAGTGGCTTGTTGGTCCTCTTCTCCCATAGCAACATGTCGGACGAGCCATTTCCAGTGGCTGTTTCTCCTTGTGGCTATACAACAGCAGCACCAGATGGTACCTAATGGGAGGTATTTTCCTTGAGTTACCTGATTGGTTAACCACAAGGTTAACAGGTAGCATATTGCAGACTTTAAGCTTCTATCTGTCCCTGTCACCAACCCCACATGTGGCTCTTTGGCTAGTTGAGTGTGGCTAGTTCACTATAGCAGTAGCCACTATTGTGGCTATTGTTTCAGAACTGGTTGCACACTATGGCTCTAGTGTTAATGTTTGTCCCCGAACCGGTATGCATTTTCTTCTTACGGACTGAGGTGGCTGATCAGGCTGTCTCTTGATGTAAATGTTTAAGGAGAAGTGTAGTGCTGGTGGAGTAAGAAGGACTAATACTGAAGTGCCACATATATGTTAATTTTAATAACTAAAGCTACCTGTTCTGCTTTAGAGTGGAGAATGGATTGAAGAGTTCGAAGGGATGAGACTGGTCTCTGACATGGGTGTTCATAATATAAAAGGAGCTTCTTGTGAGTTACTCTAATTACCCTGAACTCAGCTGACAGTAGGAATGTGAAAGGTTAACTGGCAAGCATTGCCCTTAACAGGTAATGCTTCCCAGTTCTGGTTAACCAGTGGGGGCTGGAGCAGCTCCCCGCCTGCCGGGCACAGGGGGCTGCTCCACTGCCACATCAAGGGCTGCTCTGGTCATCCTGTTAACCAATTAAAGAGGTCAGGTATGTGTGTGGGGGGGAAGTGCTACAGCCCAGCTGTGGTGGGCCGGGGTGCAGGTCAGCCTGGAATACCCCCCTCTCGTGTCAGCCCAGAATACCTCCCCCTCTCCCGTGTCCAGGTCAGCCCGGAATACCCCCCTCTCCCGTGTCTAATACCGATTTTATCCCTACTTGGCAAGAAAATAGGTTAAATGGGTCTCATCATAAGTCTTAACGTTTACTGGACTCATTCTGGAAAGCAGCTCCCAGATATGTGTGTCCCAGGCTGTGGTTTCATGCCACCTGAATTCCTGTATGTACTAAACATTCTCTTAAAGTACAGCACTGTTGGTTTGAGATTTTTTTTTTCACCTAATTTGGGATTAAAAAATCCTCACTGAAAATTAACTAATTTTCCTGCTACATTGAAAATGACAGGTTCCGTTCTGTTTGATAAAACACCAGAAGATAAGGTTTAAGGGCATCCAGTTTTGCAATTTTCAGACACCATTACAGATGAGACACTCTGAGGTTAGAATTGAAAGAGGAAGGACCAGTGCTTTCAACTCTTGTCTAGACTAGTGATTTTGGTCCTGCTGTAACTCAAGTTAATTGAATAAGGTGAACACCAAAGCAAGAAACCTTTGTGGCTGGGAACAGGTTGTTCCTGTGTAGTTAATCAGTTTATTGACAATTAATAAATTCTCAAATTAAAACAACAAAACTGCTCTCAGTATGACCTCAGGGTGCATACCAAGCAATAATGTTACCTAATGTTTAGAACTGGGTAGGGTGTCAGTTCTCCTGAGTTCTATTCCCATTACTGCTACGGATGTGTTGTGACCCTGGATAATTTCTGTGCACCTTAGCTCTGTATCTCTACAATGGGTATGATAATATTTACCAATCTCACATTTATGTTGTGAATTTTCACAAAAATGGGTAAAATACTGTGAGATTCTCATATTTAAGGTGTTAGGAATTCTATTTATATTTAAATTTAAATTACTCAAGGAAATAACTTGGACATTTTATAGAGGAGATCTTATATATAAAAAGCAGCTTGAGGGATAGTAACAATATCTGTTTCAGAGGCTGGAGAGGGATGGCAGGAGACAAATCACTTGATCATTGTCTTGGTCCACACTCTCTGGGGCACCTGGTGCTGGCCACTGTCGGTAGACAGGATACTGGGCTAGATGGACCTATGGTCTGACCCAGTACAGCCGTTCTTATGTTCTTATGTTATCTCTAACTCTTACAGACGCTCTAGACATTAGCTTTCAGAATACTTTCAAAGACTTAGTTGCTATTTGAATGTGTAGGTGTTTCCTTTCAGATGTTTCTTTTAAAATAAGGACTGCAATACACTTTTCTGATACTTGGTTTATATTTGGAGGCACAGGCTTGTTACAGGAAGTGGTATATCTGGTGAGTCAAGGAGCTGACCCAGATGAGATTGGATTAATGAATATAGATGAACAACTTCCCGTCCTAGAGTATCCTCAGCCTGGTCTGGACATCATCAAGGTACAGTTGATCTCACTGAAAGCCTTTCAGCATTCATTTGCTTTATGTATTACTATTCCCTTCCACACCATTTTTGTCCTTTTTGTTACTCAACTTGTTCAGTTTGTTTTCATGATTCAGAATGTTATTGGTTTATTATTTTTAAAATATTATAATTTATTGTATTTTGTTTTGGTTTTGCATATGTTAATCTGAGATCTAAGCACTTTGATGGAAGTGCTCTGAATATAAAAGCCACCCTTCTTTCTTTTGCTTAGCTAAGTAGAGGTGATTCAAATCAGGTAGCTCTGGATTTTTCATTAGCTTCGCCTTTCCTGGCTGAATCTGCATAGAAGTTTCTGCCAGGAGGTGAGAGATAAAACATGGATGTCTCTAAGGTGATTTGGGGAGTATAAAATATTCTGCACAAGATGCCATCTGCACTGTCGAAAAGTGGTCATGAGGATTAGTGACTTTCACCTACTAGTGGAATATCTTCAGAGATCAGTCTTGGGGATAATCTTATTTAATGACTTTTGCACAAAAAGTTGGAGTGTGCTAATAAAATCTGCAGAAAATACAAAGTTGGGAAGTATTGCCATTGTGGATGAGGACCAGAATATCATATATGAATATCTGGACAACCCTGTAAACTAGAGTAATAAAAACAGGATGATATTTAATAATGCAAAGTGCAAGGTGCACTTAGGGACAACAACAGGATTTTTGCTATAAGCTGGAGACTTATCAGTCTAGAAGCAACAGTACAGAAGAAAGTTGATCAGAGGTTGATCTGTGAGTCTGCAAGGTGATGTGACGTGAAAAAGACTAATGCAATTCTGGGAAGCCTCTGGCGAAGTACTTCCAGTAGAGATAGGGATCTGTTGTTGCCATTATACAAGGCATTGGTAAGATCTCATCTGGAATGCTATGTGCAATTCTGGTCTCCCATGTCTATGAAAGATTAATTCAAACTGGAACAGGTCCAGACAAGGGCTACTAGAATGATCAGAAGAATGGAAAGCCTACTATGTGAGATGGGAATCAAAAAACTTGGGTAGTTTAGCCCAACCAAAGGAAGGCTGAGGGGAGATAGGGTTGTTCTCTCTAAACACATGAGAGGGATAAATACCAGGGAGGGAGAGAAGTTACTTAAGTTAAAGTTGGTAAAGACATTTAGAGTAGGATTTGCAAAAGTGCTCCACATCCAGCTAATTCTGCACCTTAGCTTAAATGGAAGCAGAATTAGGTGGTTCCAGAGTATTTTTGAAAATCCCTCTCCTCATCTTGAACAACCCATAGCAAAAGAAATGCAAGAGGGTTGCAAATGACCAATTGCTGGAAAACCTTGTTCTCTTGTGATCTTTGGAAACAAATGCGAACCAGTGATTAAATTCTTAGTCCAGAATCCTCATTTGATTGAGCAATGAGTTTGTGAATGTAAAGCAGTGCAGTAAGGATACCTTAAGTTTGACAATTTAGGAAAAATGCCAGTCAATTTATATGCACTGAGAAATGTTTTCTTCTTCAATTTTTTTAGGAGCTCACATCTCCTCGCCTCATAAAAAGCCACTTACCCTATCGATTTTTGCCTTCAGACCTCCATAATGGCGATTCTAAGGTAAAAATGAATTAGTGTTTGATTAGCTAGTGCTTGGATAGCTTGCGAAGTGAAGGAAATACACTTTTATTAAGATGGGTTGTTTGCATTTTCACAGGTAATATACATGGCTCGCAACCCCAAAGACCTGGTAGTATCCTATTACCAGTTTCACCGCTCCTTAAGAACCATGAGCTACAGAGGAACATTTCAAGAATTTTGTCGAAGGTTTATGAATGACAAGTGTAAGGAACTTTTCTTGGTGTATGATGCAATCTGTTATCCATTTGTTTTTACCTCTGCATTCCATTTATTAATATAGTACTGGTATATGCAAGCCCACTGCTGGGGGTACACGGGAAAAGGAGGCAACTGCCCTCGGTCCCAGTGATTTGAAGGGGCCCAGAGCTTCTAGCTGCTGCCAGTGCTATTGTGGAGCCCTGGGCCCTTTACATTGCTGTCAGATAACTTTATGGCACACTCCAGAGCCCCAGGCAGTGCACTCTGGACAGCGCGGGGTAGGGAAACAATCGGACTGGCGCTAAAAGCTGGCTGCCCCAGCCCCCTCCTTTGCCCTGGGCCCCAGCGAGTCTGTCGGCTTGTGGGGGTACAGGATTTTATTTTTGGTGATGTTTCCGTTGCTTCATGGATTTCATTGCTTGGATTTGCTCTGGACCCAAGTGAAGAGTGAAAGTTTTTGTCATAGTGAAGCAGAAGGGATCCAGTATTTTAAAATCAAGGGCATTAAGTATTATAAAATTAAGGGTGTTTTAGGGTGTTTTATGCTTTTCTCTGAAATATATTGTTCTGGCCACTATGGGAAAGAAGATACTAGACAAGATGGACTATAGATCTGTTCCATGATGGAAGTTTCTATAGGCAGTTGTCAATTGTGTATTTTTAGCTCCAGCTATGACTTAACTGTTTCACACTCACAAATATGTAGCTGTAGGCAACTAGTACTTTAAACGCAACCTAGCCCAGGGTAGGTTAAAACTCAGTGCTGCTGACGGGCAGGTTAGTAATGCAGCAGGGATGCGTCATGCAGCATCTTCAGGTAAAACCACTCATTGGCTGTTAATCAAATCGCTGTGTAGCAACTGGCGGATCCCAGGCAGCAAGCTTCCATTGGAGATGAATTTTGAGTAGTCATTGCATGCCATCTCCCTGTAAGATTCATGAATGCTTCCATAGGAAGGAAGAATGAGTCAGTGGAGGTTAATAACAGGCTTTATAAACTGTTTTCTTCTGTGGGTTTGCAGTATGGGGGAAAATCACCCTGTGTCCATGCCATTTATCTCCAACTTGCCGTACTCTCACCCTGAGTGTTGGGGCCTCGTGAAGGGGTTTCAATGTAGATGTAGGGGCAAGAAGCATAAGGAGAGCATTCCACAAAGGTGCATCTCTCCTCTCATATAGGCAGGTGTTATGTGTAATAGATACCTTCCTACACCAGTTCAGGAGTCATGACCCAGGCATGTGATTTATCCCAAAATCCCAGTATCAGAGTCAGTAAAATATGACATCACTTTCTGTGTTCCTATAACTGTGCTAATGGGGCCTTTTGCAGTGCAATACTTTTAACTAAGAACCATGTCATGTCTGCTGTTTGTTTACCTGAGGGGGAATGAAAGGAGCAGAAAATCTGATGCTTTGGCCAAAGTATTGCAGAATGAATAGGCCTGAGCCCACATGACATTCTCCCTCCATCCCTCTTACCTCCTAACTCTGTGGCAACCCCTCCTCACGCATTCTCTTCATGATGGCTCTTTTAGTTTCTAGGCATGGGGATGAAGTCAGAGAGCAGCTTCATTCTGTGGCATTGTGCTCTGAAGATCTGAAGGGCTTTCCTCACATAAGCTAATGTTTTGGGTTAGGAGCAGCCAAACTGTTCTGTATGACACATTTTGCTTAACCAATTTGTAACCCTCATGTAAATGCTTATTTAGAAGTATGTGGAATAATAATAATAATAATAATAATAATAAAGTGTTCAAAATGCCAGTTTTTTTAATATACCACTAAATACATTAAAAATGGTTCTGTTTTGCTGAAAAAATAACTTTGTTCCTTGAATTTTTATATGAAAACAGGCCTTTTTGTGAAGTAAAAAATAAGTCTTTTATCAAATTAAAATGGGTTCTTTCCAAATATATGGTGGCTTCAAAATGCAAAGTTCAGAAGTGGAGTGTTTTCTCATTTTGTACAGCTGATTTGCTGAATTTCATGGGAAAATACAATTTGTAAAGAAAATTGCAGATGACAAGAAGTTTGGTGTAAAATGTAGTGGAAAAATGTTCCCCGATTTTGCACAGACCCTACATCTTGATGATGTGAATTACTCATTAGAAATTAGCATAGAAGACAAACTGATAACAAATTAATAAAAGTTCAGAAGATACTTTTGCCTGGATTATTTACCCTAATATATTTTCTTTTGGTAATATTAGCAACAAAGGACTTTTTTTCCCAGATAGTAGGGACCAGTGTCTGATCTTATATTGGTGTAACTTGAAGTCAGTGGATGTATTGTGGATTTACACCAGTATAACTGAGATGAAGCTCTGGCCCTAAAAACTGATATTCCTTTGGATGAGCAGAAGTACTCCTAGACAATTTAAAAGCCACAGAAACAACACAGTAAATTTAGATTTGGGGGCTGTGGGTGTGTGTGTATGTGGATGGGGGAATTTCCTGGCTTTACATTTTTTATTTTAACTATTGTTTCCAGAACAAAACTTGGATGTATAGGGCTTTTTTCTCAATACATTCTTAAGTAAGAAAAAATATGGTGATCTTCCCTAGAAATTGCATTACATATAAGAATGCAGGGAGAGGGAATCTTTTATCAAATGTAGCTAATGATTTCTTAGATCATCTACCATTCCTCTCCCTCCAAGCTATAGCCACATTCTGCTGAGTGTAACCAAGTGAAAAGGATGTAAACTGCAGGAATATCCTCTCCTTCCCATTCAGTAATATGCCTAGTGATTTAGAAGCCGCATGCACATTTTGTCTGCTGGCTCCCTTTCAACTCATGAGCAATGTATCTATATTATTGAACTCAAAGACTTCTTGTCATGCAACACAGTAGCCTTGTGCATTGAGTGCATAGCCATAATAACATGCCTGTAGAACAAATCAGCTCTCTGTGAATGTGTTAAGATCTCACCAATACCGGTGGAGAGTATACTCTGTTTCAATGGTGTTTCTTTTTAGGAATCGATACTGTGCAGAAACACATGCACACAAATTCCCTTGGAAGTATGAAGTGATTTAGCCATCCAAATGTATTTATTTTCCTCAATCATATTCTTTGTCAGTTATAAAGTTCTCTGTCTCTGCAGTGGGATATGGTTCATGGTTTGATCATGTGCAGGAATTCTGGGAACATCATATGGACTCCAATGTTCTTTTCCTCAAGTATGAAGATATGCACAAGGTAAACTAGATATTATAAAAAATGTTCCCTTGCTTGAGATTGAGACTCAGTTAATCAAATTAGGAGTCTAAAGTCAGGCTCCTAAGTCCATACTTAAATTCCTAAATGTGTGGCCTAATGTTTCAAAGCATTGGTCACCCACAACATTTACCAACTTCCATGTAAACTGTGAAGTAGCTCACCACTTTATGAACATCAGGTAATTTAAGAGCTTTAATAAGGATTTAAGGCCAGATCCATGATACTTAGGTGCTTAAACACTAGATGTGGATACTTAAATCATAGGTTTAGGCACTGAAATCTCAGTTTTGGCTCCATTATGATCCACAAAACTCACACGCACCTAAGGTTTCCTAGGCATCTGTGTTTCTGCCCTTGGCATTTGCTGATTTGCCAACATCTGAGTTTGGGGGTTCAACTTTCACATTCAGGAAGGGCACAAGCAGGTCAGGGAGCAGTTTGTGGTTGCAACCTTAACTCTGCTTCAACATCTATTTAGCATTTCTATATTTAAAATTGAAACAAAAGACAGGACTATGCAGCACTTCAAAGACTAACAAGATAGTTTATTAGGTGATGAGCTTTCGTGGGCCAGACCCACTTCCTCAGATCAAATTGTGGAAGAAAATTGGCATGACCATATATACCAACGGGATACAATCAAAAAAAGTGAACACATGTAAAATTGTGAACACATATATTGTCAAGTTTGTGTTCACTTTTTTTATTGTATCCCTTTGGTATATATGGTCATGCCAATTTTCTTCCACAATTTGATCTGAGGAAGTGGGTCTGGCCCACGAAAGCTCATCACCTAATAAACTATCTTGTTAGTCTTTGAAGTGCTGCATAGTCCTGTCTTTTGTTTCAGCAAGACCAAACTAGCACGACTACATCTCTATTACTATTCTATATTTAATATTTAACTATTCTATATTTAATATTAATCTATTAACTTGTATTTGTTTTTAAACATTTTCTTGCAGGACCTTGCAACAATGGTTGAGCAGCTGGTGAGATTCTTGGGAGTTTCTTATGACAAAGCACAGCTGGAATCCATGGTGGAACATTGCCACCAACTCATTGATCAGTGCTGTAATGCAGAAGCCCTTCCTGTCGGCAGAGGTATGTTCCATAAACACAGTAACTTCATAAGGGGGGTGTCACAAAAGGATAAGTGATGGATTGATCACGTCCAGGCTGTGTTTGCAATTTACTGTCTTAAGTTAAATCTAAAATGTTTTTGAAGTAACACAGGAAAAATTATCATTTGTATCATAGGAACTTTGACTGTTTGGTATTGGGACAAAAAAGGAGTGAAGGTGGTTTAAAAGAAAATAAAAACATACAGGATGAACATTTCATATTTACAAATATTTTAAAGGAATAGGCCAACTTCAGCATTGGTGTAAGTGGGTGCAGCACCATTAACTTTAAATGTTCTGTATCTTCTTATGAGAGTGATAAATTTGGCCCTAACAGAGGCATTCAACTGAAAAACAATAAACATCACCACCACAACCTGGCTGTAAGTGGGAGTGGTACACTGCACAGCTGCAGAGTGACCCATTGCATACATTTTAAGGCAAGAAGTGACTTTGGACCATTTAGTCTGAACTCTTGTATAACACAGGCCATAGAATTTCACCCAGTTACTGCTGCAGTAACTTGGGTTTGACTAAAGTATCTCTTACAGAATGGCATTGTACCTTGATTAGAAGACAAGAAAAGCTGAGAACCTCGGAAGCTTGTTCCAATGGTTAATCCCCCTCATTGTTAAACACGTGCGCGTTATTTCTAATTTGAATTTGTCTGGCTTTAACTTTCAGTCACTAGTTCTTGTTATGCCTTTATCTGCCAGGTTAAATAGCTCTTTAGTAGTCAGTACTTTCTTTCTGTGATAGTACTTATATGCAGTAATCAATTTACCTTTCAATCTTCTTTTTGATAAGCTAAACAGAATGAGTTCTGTAAGTCTCGGACTGTATGTTTTTCTCTCCAGCCCTCACATCATATCTGTGGCTTTTCTTTACCCTTTTCAGAATCTTTTAAAAACATAAACACCAAAACTGTACATAGTATCCCAGTACTGGTCTCACCTTCTTACTCCTAATTTCCACTTCCCAATTTCTACTTACAAGAATAGTGTTAGCCCTTTTTGCCATAGCATCATACTGGGAATTCATGTTATTTAACCATTATGATCCCTAAATACTTTTCAGAGTCGCTGCTTCCTAGGTACTATCCTCCATCCTATAGGTACAGCCTGCATTCCTTATTCCCGGATGTGTGATTTTTGCATTTTGTTTGCATGGGCCCAGTTCACCAAGTGATTCAGATTAGTCTTATGACTGCCTGTCCTCATCATTATTTACCACTCTGTCAAGTCTTTATATCATCCACAGTTTTTGTAAGCATAGATTTTATTTTTACTTCCTAATCATCGATAAACTTACTGAACAGGATTGGGCATAGTATGGTCCTTGTAGAATCTCCCTGGGTATGTCTACACTACAGTGTTATTTCGAAATATCTAATTTTGAAATAACGCGTCTGCACACACAATGTCCACACTGATTGGATGCTGAATCGCATTTAAGGCCAGCCAGAACTTAAATCATGATCTGGTTCCGGCAGGGCATCAGATCAGAAGTTACCTTGTGGCCAGGGAGGCCAGCAGGGCACCCTGGGAAGGGCTGGAGGCCCCCTATTTTGAAATAAGCGTCTACACAGCGCTTATTTAGAAATAGCAATTTTGAAATTGGCGCTATTCCTCGTGGAATGAGGTTTACCAATTTCAAAATAAGCGCTCCGCTATTATGAATTAATTTTGAAATAGTAGTTGGCTTGTGTAGACGCTAGGAAAGTTATTTCAGAATAACTTTGCTGTGTAGACATACCCCCTAAAAGCATTTTTTCAGATCTGTCTGTTAACCTGTTCTTAGTCCATTTATTGTACACTCTAGGGATATTGTGTAGTGCTATTTTTTTAAAACAGAATGTTGTCACACTTTTGTAAGGCATTTGACTTAGAATAAGTGTATTGTATCTACATAGTTACCTTTATCAACCACACATGCAGTTTCATCATAGAATGAAAACAGGCTATTTTGATAGGATCTGTTTTTATAAAACCATGCTGTGTGGCATTAATTCCCCTCTTTGTTTCTGTATTGTTTGAATCCTGTGTCAGCATAATTTTGCTCAGGACTGACATCAGGATAACTGATCTACAATTATCTGGGTCAACCCATTTTGCCTTTTTTGTCATGACATTAGCATGCGATCAGTCTTTATAAGGCAGCTCCTTATTTTCATCAAAAAAATCTGTTACTCTGCAAAGCTGGAATGGAATGGATAGTCTATATACTGAAGAGACTCAGTATTCCCTGGTCTGTACTTGACTTACTCGGTGACCTTGAGCCTTTCTGTGCCCTCGTTCTCCTATCTCAAAAGAGGTATAATAATTCTTGCCTACCTCCTAGACCACAGGTGAGCAAGATGGGTCCGCAGGCTAAATCCGGTCTGCCAAGCCTTTTGATCTGGCCTGTGGCTTCCCTTTCGCTTCTCCACTCCCAGGCCAATCAAGACCTGGGGATGGGGGAACACACACAGTTTCCTCCTGCTGCCAGGGATGCGCGGAACTTAGAGTGAACTTCTAGCTGTTCAAAACACCCCCAAGCCAATCTCTCCCCAGGCTCCCATCCCCAGGCCAGTCAAGGTCTGGAGGCGAGGGAACACGCAAAGTCTCCTCTCCCTGCCAGGGGTGGGCCACACGTAAAGGGAACAACCCCTTACCACCTAAGGCTCCACCCCTTCAGGGGTGGCCCATGACCACTTCCAAAATTGAGTGCCTCCCCCCCTTCAAAAATTATTGCCCACCTTTGTCATAGACTGTGTTCACTGGGGAAGAAGGGGCATTCTTCACTCAAGATAACTAATGAGGTAAAATTCTAATGAAGACAAGCCCGGTTCATTGTTTTGCATGAGGGGGCCATTTAGGGATCTTGGGTAAATCTGTCAGAGATGGTACTTGGTCCTGCTGTGAGGGTAGGGGACTGGACTTGATGACCTCTCAAAGTCCCTTCCAGTTCTATGAGAGAGTTATAGCTCCATATAATTAGCAGGTTGAAGTAAAGGACTAGCACACCCCACACCTCCAGATTCTGTGTCTCATGATGAGATAGCTCAATAAAAATACACTGGGCTAGAGCCACAAAAGAGATTTTAGCTCAGCATTCCAATGCCTTACTTTTAGTCTCCCTGACACCTAATGCAATCCTCAGCCATGACCCAGGCTCCCCTACAGCACATAGGGACAGTCAGGAGCCTAAGAATGAGAGTCCAAAAGCCAGCATATTGTGAGGAGCCACCTAAACTAGCCATTTGGAAATGGCAAAAGGAAGGGTGTGGTCTAAGCTCTGCTCCTCAAAGGAATGCTTGGGATTTACCACTATGACCTCTCTCCTGGAGGGAAATCAGAGCAGACACCATCAGGTCCTGTGCTAGTTCCTGTGCTGGCTTTCAGTACAATAGGACTGTGAATTTAAGTGTTTGGCTTGGCTGTTCAATTTTCCCAGGATTGGGGAAGAGAGAGACAAAGGCAGCAGTAATCCCCAGCTGTATCTCAGAATCATAGAGCTGGAAGAGTCCTCAGGAGGTCATCAAGTCCAGTCAGCAAGGGCAAAGGATGAGGCCATGGCATTGGTACAGCTGCTTCCTCACTCCCTGATTGGTTCTTATGGAAAGAAGTTTTGCTGGCTTTTTGAACAGAAACTGGGGAAAGAGAGCAGGCCTTGGCACATGGCAGCCTGCCTGCTCTCAACTGGAGGCCACAGTGCAAAGCAGCTTCTTTGTAAACCAACCTGTGTTTCTGGCATCCAGAAGTACAGGTGATGGTCTTTTCTTTGTACCCCCATTCCTGTTGATATTATCATATATTGTTCTACATTAGAGTCTAGATGCTCCAGGCAGGGATCAGTATCCCTTTGTGCTAGGTATGTTTGTACGCTCTTATTTTGTAGTGGAGAAGGGAGCTACAGTAGTCAGCTAAATACCTGGTCATTTATTTGCTGTCTGCTTTTTATTAAAATTCCTTATTTTGAAATCATTTTGTTTGCTGTCTTTGGCTATTACTGCAATGTTTTGTTCCTCTAAAGTTCAACTTCATTAATGGCAGTTTTGTCCTTCCCTGTTCATTTATGTGGTACAGAATGATAGCAATAACACCATAACTTTCTGTAATTTGTTCCAAATATTTTTAATTTATCAACTACATTTACTTTATTATTTTGCTTTATTTTGGTTCTTTACTTTTTTTTTCTTTTAGCACATTCATCTTTACTCTGAAGAAAACCCTGAGCTGCTATGAAAGCAGAGCATTTTGATTAGCTATATTACTTATGTTTGCTTCATATCACATCATAAATTACACAGTTGCATGATTCAAATGATAAACCAGGTGGGTGACTTTTTGACAACCTATCAATCTATATGGTTGAGAAATAGATGCTAGAAAAATATATTATAGTAATTCCATATATAAAACTTGTATTTGTCCCTATGTTATCATTAGAGAGATTCGGGAATAACAAGGTTCTTTGCTTTTCTATTTGAGAGAAAGAAAGAAATCTTTTTTATTACCTAAAGGATAATGTATGATTTTATGTTGCACAGTGTACTGTATTTGTCCCATAAGTATTGCTAGAGCCAACTGAAATCAATGCCTGACTTTTATGATTGCAAGAATGTTTTTATTAATAGTATTAACTGATCCATTTGACACAGGAAAGCTAGTAGCAGCATTTATTTGTCAAAAGGTGTCAGATTAAGTGTTTTCAGTCAATTTCAAAGCCTTAATCTTTGGGAGACTGGGGAAAAAACCCTCTTGTAGTGAATTATATCTTTAGGGATATTAGGAAAATGATTATTTCACAGAATCACAATTGTCGTGTATAATAACTAATTTAACTTCAAGTCACTGTGCAGTTGGTGGGACAATCGTTGCAAACTTTTTGACAGAGCTCATGTATAATTATGTCCTTGAACCCAATTATGTAGTTACTGCATATGAGCAACTTTCAGTAAATTAACCAGGAGTTTCTCACATCCATCAAATGCATTATTAAGACTCCTGTGTGTAACTTTTGGTCTTATTAATCTGATTAAGTTCAGTGATTAAGTTCACAGTCCTGACTCTACACAGCAGTGTAACAGCCTTGATTTTAATAGGGCTAGTTTTCACTTAAACTCTGAGGCTGCGTCTACACTGGCAAGATTTAGTACCTGTCTACATCTTGCTGCCTGTCTACACTGGCCACGAGTATTTGCACAAGAACACTGACGTTCTACTGTATGAAATCAATGCTAGATACTTGCGCAAATACTCTGACGCTCCCGCTCAGGGATAAGTCCTCTTGCGCAAGTGGCCAGTGTAGACAGGTAACATCAATTTCTTGCGCAAGTAAAGGTCGATGGCTAAAATGGCCATCGGAGCTTTCTTGCGAAAGAGAGCGTCTACACTAGCACGGATGCTTTTGTGCAAAAGCAAATCTTTTGCGCAAAGACACATGCCAGTATAGACGCTCTCTTACTCAAATACTGTAACGCAAAAACTCTTGCGTTTAGAGTATTTGCACTAAATCTTGCCAGTCTAGACGTAGCCTGAAAGTGAGAGTAGAATCAGGCCAACTAAGGCCCAACAGAGTAATGAAATGTATATGAGCCTAATTCAACACTGTGTTGCTCCAGTTGATTTTGACTGAGTTCAAGTGGCATAAAACCAGAATGATGCAGTGGTGAATCAGGCTCAGAATGTTATATTAGCAGTTTTGATGTTGTTTTCAGGTCATTTCATTAGTTGGATTCAGTAGGAAAGTAAAAATATTTTGTATGAGGAGCGAAGTTTTCAAACATGAATAGCTAAATTATACCCACAGAAAATGTGTATGCACTCAGTGTGTATACACAATTCACATTTTAGGTGCAAATTGAGTGCCTGAATGCACAGTTTTGTAGGCATCATTTAGGTACTCACTCATCTTTGAAAAACTGCCTCATTATATTTGTACAATGAGGCAATTTTATACATCTACTGAACATAAAATAAAGGCATTTAATTATCGTCAGTGTTATTTTATTGTCTTCTGCGTGTGTCTTTACACTAACGTGTGATGACGTTTCAGCAACCGTGTAAATGCTTCCTCTATTGAAAAGAGGATAATTAAACCCCCATCATCTGCAGTGAGAGCTGAAATCCACCATGTAGTGGAACCTCTATTTTATGAACATCAATCATATGAACTACCCTTTGGAAGAACCATTTTTCCTGACAGGAAATAAAATATCGCATAATAAAAGTTGTGTTGATGAAAAACATTGAATATCCCTTCATATTTTGCTGCATTCAGTACACTGGAAATCCCATATGTAGTGGTTTGAAGGACAAGCAGAGAGCAAGGCTGTGCTCTCACTGCTGCAATGTAGGCACCAGCCCTAGAGTAATTTTGAGAGGCTCAGTTATGAACTCCTCAGTCTCCAATTAGTTCGTAAAATTGGGGCTCCACTGTGATGATATTCAAAACAAATGTGGTAACCATTATTATGATTTAAAGCTAGCGGGGCCAAATCCTGCAAGGAATATATGTTTGTTGGATGAAATTCACCCCTGTGCAGATGGCCAGTACAAGGAACGTGGCACTTTTTTAGGGCTTCAGTGGGATTTATTGGGCTATGTGAATGAATCACACCTCCTGCAAAGTCTGAGCACCCCAACTCTCATTGAAGTAAGTGAAAATAGAGGTTGATTGTCAGTTCACAGGAGGTGGTTGGTTCCTTATCTGATCAGACACCTAATTTTAGACAAGCTGGTGTGCTTTCATGTCACCAATCTGACTTATGCTCCTTCTCTGTATTTCAGGACGAGTCGGGCTATGGAAAGACATCTTCACTGTGTCAATGAATGAGAAATTTGATTTAGTGTATAAGCAGAAGATGGGGAAGTGTGACCTCACATTTGACTTTTATTTATAAAAAAAATGCATGAATACAATATCCAAATACTAGCTAGAAGTGCTTTATGCATTCATTTATTACCTGCTGGACAAAATATTGCAGCTATTATGTGTAACACAACTTAAAAACAAACAAAATATAAGTAAACCATAGGAAACACTATTGTTCTTGATCCTAAACAGCTGTTTATCCTTCAGCATTTTAATCCTAGGTCAACATGCAAGAATTGACTAGACAATACAAGAATATTCAGCTGTTATGTAATGTATTATATAAGTATAAGGTATGTATCATATATGCAACTAGAATGTACACTTTTTCAGCCCCACATTGATTTAATGTATTTTATAGATGCTTTTCACTAGAAACCTAAATACCATTCAATAGATCAAATAAAAATGTATGTCCGAAGGAAATCAGTAACAGGCAAAACTGTATGCTAGAATGATCTCAGGGGTTAGCTGTCACATTTATTTTTATAGTTGGAATGTCAAGGACAAAACAATCCTCTCTCAAATTAACAATGGATAACTATGGGGGTTATCACTTTCATTATTTGTATGATTTCTGAGTGAATACAATTTGCTGGAATGCTTTGCAAGACAAGCTCTGTTATGAAATCTTACTCATTGTCACTCCACACACACACATGCTCTTATGTCTGATAAGAGGTGATTGTGTTAATAGTGAATGAAATTCATCTCTGTGAAGAGGGCTGGCCTTCACAAGGGACTGTTCACCACTAAGGGTACGTCTACACTTGCTCCCTAGTCTGAACTAGGGATGCAAATGCAAATGCAGCCCTAATTCAAACTAGGGAGCAAGTGTAGACGTACCCTAAGTCTCACTCAAGCCCTCACCATAGGGTTTAAGGCTACGTCCATACTGCAGCGCTATTTCGGATATTGGAGGTATCCCAAAATAGCCATTCCGCATCTTTTGAGTGCTCCTGTTATTTTGAAATATAATGGGCTCACTATTCCAACGTCCCTGTAAACCTCCTTCCTCAAGGAGTAAGGGACATTTTTGTAATAAGTGCTGGTCTTCTGCACAGATATGAGTTTCACCCACTGAAGAATGATCCTCTTAGGCAGGGGTGGGCAATAATTTTTTGCCGGGTGCCACTTTGGAAATATTTGAAGTGGCCCCCAGCCATAGAGGAAGGGGCAGGGCATCAAGTGGAAGGGGAGGGGGCCAAGGAGAGGGGTATTTCTGGGTTCGCCACCCCAGACAATAATTGGTCTGGGGGTGAGGGAGTGCCTTTGCCCCCAGCCCATGTTCCCCTGAGGTGTCCATGTCCCTGGTGTGGGAGGAGACTTCCCTCGCTCCTCTGCCCCTAGGCTGCTTAGGGCTGGGGGTGGCAGAGCACACAAAACCTCCTCTGCTCTTCCCCCCGACCTGCGAGTGGCACCCAGTGCTTCAAAGCGCAACTGCTCCTGGCAGGGCGGGAGGAGGCTTTGCGCACAGACCAATTAGGGCCTGGGGGTGGGGGAGCGTGTGAAGCCTTCTCCGCTCTGCCCCCTCCTTGCGAGCAGTGCGCAATGCTTCAAAGCGCCGCGTGCTCCTGGCAGAGCGGGAGGAGGCTTCGCGCGCTACCCTGCCCCTAGGCCCTAATTGGCCTGGAGGCGGGGAAGCAGCAGGGCCTCTGTGGGCTGGATCCTCCTGCTCAGCGGGCCGGCCCCGGCCCACAGAGTCCCTTCTGCCCACCCCTGTTCTTAGGTAACGAGGGCTTTCTGCTGGATTCTGAGCACCCTCAAGTGTTACTGAGACCATAGGAGTTGAGGGAACTTAGTATTTTTAGGACATTTAGACGCACTTTGACATAAATTGAAGATGGAGATACAAGCTGGTACAAATACATGAATGAAATATCAGATCTTGAAGAAGAGACTTTAAGGATACTCCAGCAGATGGGAGTATCACACAACTGATAGTATTTATGCACTATACAGTCACTGTAATTGACTGTCAGCCACTAATAATCTGAATTATAATTATAATCCGAATTTGAGTTCACTTTGAATTATAATCAGAATTTGAGTTTACTTTTTTAAGTCTTTTTATTTTCTTAACTTGCCTCTGGGCATTTACATATATAACCTAGCCCAGGCTATCATAATAATGAGATCTTACCGAATTGTTGTACCTTTGATCCTTTAGTTAATTACACCTGTATTTTTAGTTTCTCAGCTGCTGGAGGCCCATTTTGCTGGCCCTATATTACATCTCACCAAATGCTGTGAGGAAGGACTAGCAGATTTTAACATTTTGCTTCTGTTGGAAAATAACCTGTCAGTACAGCAGTTGGCAAGTGGTGTGGCATGATGTGGCTTGACAGACCTTTCCTGGTATATTTGTGAGTGAAACTGCTTTCAGTGAAATTTTATTTATTTTTATATCTTAGTACTGTATGACTATTAAGCACTACACACTATACTTCTGTGCTTGCTTGCCTATTTAATAAAGACATGATTCATGCATGGGGGTTTGATCATTTGGTTCTTTAATATTTGCAAACTGAAAAGTGTCGCCTTTTTTATTCATTTTGACGTTGTCAAGTATCACAAGTCCAGATACGCATGCAAAATAGCTCCTGTGTGCTATATTTTTGCCTCCAAGACTAGGAATAAGGTGGGTCACTAATGGCTACACCTACTCTTGCCTGCATCATCATGACTATCTTCTACGAATTAATGCAATTAATCCACTATTCTATAGTCTGATAGCTAACATTCCTACTTCTCAGGGATTATAGGCACCTTAGTTGGGGCTGGATAGAGGCACCTGTCGCCATTTGGGATTCTTAGCCATGAACCCTCTCCTGGAGTTAGGCACTTAAAGCATTTTGTGCAAGAAATGGAGCAGCACGTGTCTAATGGTAAGATTTTTGTCATGGAGCTCATGGATTCTGAGACTTCCATACAGGCAGTCCCCGGGTTACGTACAAGATAGGGACTGTAGGTTTGTTCTTAAGTTGAATCTGTATGTAAGTCGGAACTGGCATCCAGATTCAGCCGCTGCTGAAACTGACCAGCGCTGACTACAGGAAGCCGGAGGCAGAGTTGCTCTGCCCCGGGCTTCCTGGAATCATCTGCTGATCAGTTTCAACAGGCT